CACTTAACCAAAGTGAAAATAGTAATAATAATAATATACTTACGGAGCACCAACTAAAAGTTTGCTGATTTTCAATACAAATCTCTCAAAAGACGTTTGAACAGGTCGGTTAAAAAGACACCAAATAAATAAAAACGGATCAAACTACTACAGCGCCATCTTCCTTAGAGTCTGAACTAAGTCCTCCGTCGGTAAAATTTTTTTTTATTTGCAATTTAAAATAGTGAAAATTAAATAAAACTAAAGTGGGTAGACTCGCCCCTGGATGGGTAGACTCACCCCGGTTTACGGTATATATATAATCTTTATTCTCTTTCACAAGCTATAAAAATTACTACTAACTATCATACGAAATCTTACTAAGTATATACGATTTGTTACATTCTAATAATAAATTAAATGTAAAATGCGTCTTAGTACTTGAACAAGAAACAACACAATTGATTTAATTAAACTTCAGATCCATAACTACATTTAATTGAACAAAATGCAGTTAGTAATAGAAAACCAACGCAGTGCATTTTTGCAAATTGTAATAAAGCGAATGCAAAGAGAAAAAACAATACTTAAATATGATAAAATACTCATTAAAATTTAAGACATGCAAATTAAGACAAAAAAACAATGAAAATGTAGGTAAAAATTAATTTCTAATTAAATTAAAATTTGAACAATCAATGCCTTGCTGAACAAATTCAGAACCCTTCATATCGGCATTTTTGCTCAAAAAATAAAGATTAAAATGATTGATAGTTTAATGAGAAGTTATTTAAACCGCTCATTCTCTTTTATAACAAACTTTTAACATCACAATGTGATTCTTTCGAGCAAAATAACTTTCTATTTTTAAGAAAAATTCTTTTTTTTTTCTTTTTTTTTCTTTTTTTTTCTTTTTGCTCCGTTAAAAGAGATAATCCATACGGTTTTGTGCAGTCCTAAAAAATTTATTTTACATTTCAAGCAAATCACATGTAATAAAAGCCCACTTGTGTCAAGCGGAAATTAACTCCAAGTTACTGAAAGTCGCATTCTGAAA